GCGCGTAGATGCGCAAAGCAACAAAAGCGCAGGCGACAACCAGGAAAGTCTATTCTACGACCTAGAGAGTCTCGTCCGTTAGCATTGCTATGTCCAACAGGATTGTACCAGCAACTTACCATGCAGTCTCTACCGCCAATAAAGAATGCTATTGTAGAAAGCAGTGCTGTTGCGACTAACGTGTTGCTAGCGATGTCTTTAAACAAAATACTATAATATTATCTTGCAAGATCTGCGACCCCAGAAGTCATAGCTAAGCATCATTAGGTCTAGGCGTAGTTGCCCGCGTAGTTCCCTGGGTGGTTCCCCGTGTGGTCAAGCCACAGCGTCTTGGGTGAATCTCACGTCTGCATGGTGCTCGGATCCACGATAGCGGGCAAAACAGCCGGCATGTGCAGCCATAGGAGACACTGTCGGTTTCCGGGCTAGACTGTAGCGCATCTGGTGGGAGACTATAAGAGCCCGAGTCCGCGTATAGATCCGTAACCTCAGGCACAAATCAGCCGAGACACTGTCCACACCATACAATTTCAGAACATAAAGAACATAAAGAACTCTGCGTACTTGCTGATTCTGTCGGGTCTGCTTAGAGTCATCGCTAGTAAGTAAGCCCCAGCGGCTGAGATCGCCCGGCGCTGACGTCTTCTAGATCCTTGTGCGCAAACAGATCCCACTCCAGATCTGGGGTATGACGAACTCTGGCGCCTCCAGCACGAGTTCTACGAGCGATGGATAACACCCAACAATGTGAAAGAAGCGGAATCGATTAACTCGACTATATTCTCTAAAGACGTAAGCCTATCACTCTCGCACTAAGACGCTTGTATTGATCACTTGAAGATTCTAGGGCGCGTCTCCGACACGCGCACCTTCGCAGGCCGCGAGCTCAATACCGAGTACATCTTCGGGCTTTTTATGCCCTCAGATTCCCTGTCTATCATCGGCAATCTAATGGAATACGAAGTGATTTAGTTTGCGGCGGTCTAGAATATTGCTTCGGCAACTACGCGCGTCAATTTTACTTTCCCAGCGTTTAACAATATTTCCCTTCTAGTAGTGATTAACACATAGATGACTTAGAACTCGGCTCGCGAAATGACGCAATATGACGTTGTGTTCAAGTGGTTCAGCAACCTCTTCTAGACTCTCATCCTAAGCTTAGGCGGGTCTTTTAAGGAGGCTAGCGCCAAGACAGTAGACAAGATCGCAACATTAATATGCAACTCGCATGCAAGACACTGCAGCGGCAAGAACGCATAATACGACTCCTGGGAGGATTGCTATAGTTTTCTAACGAAAGGAATACGGGTGGGACAGAGCTTTGAGCTAGGCACGAACACGCTCATGTGCCGTAGTGTACACGAGCTCATGGTCAAGTATCGGCCTGAAGTTCACTGTAGCCACATCGGGCCTACAGGAGGAGGGGAGTGTGATGACGCGCTCACGTACGTCGAGAAAGTGGACGAGCGACTCGATGCGAACTCGCCGTAGATTGCTGAGAGATTGTAGAGACTTACTGCTAGAGGCCTGCGGGTGGGCTTCATCTGCACGACTCTCTGTTAGTTTGTAATAGTTTCTGCTCGTGCGTAAGGCTAGCTCACTCCGACTGTAACTGCTTTCGAACTACGTTGTCTTAGATCAGGGTCCTTGAAAACACGAACAGCGTTTGCATGCACTTGACCTAAATCATGTTCTGTACTCCTCTAGTGGCTTTCAGGCGACGGTCGCCCACATACGGCGAGCCTCTGCTAGCGAGAGCACGACTCTATACATCCTGCCTACGCTGCGCAGACTCCGCTCAGCCAAGAACGATCTCTCACTCATCCTGCGCGACCAGCTTCGGAAGCCTCACTTCTTCAGTATCCGCAGTGGGCAGCTGCGTGAGATGTTCGGTCATGTCAATACCCATGCAAGAGTAAGAGAACCGCACGTCCACTTGCAGCGATAACTAGGATCAGGTTCTAGTTCTCGCCTATAGCTTCTCGTCAGCACAAAGTCATCTTACGAGCTACCTACTCGGCTTTAATCGTTAAGTTGCACACGACCCTAGCACACAATCGACTAAGATCCTAATTATGCCTTTGTAGCACGGCTACGCTATCTATCTATTATTAGCTGCGCCATGTTCTTTAACATCACAATCGCTGTCACTAGTGCTAAGAGCAAGTAAAACAGTATAAAACTACAGACTAATTCGAGTATGTTTCACAACGCAGATCCTAATTACATACACTACCTTCCCGCTGTCGTATCTATCTAGCTAAGGTACAGGCTCGCTTTCCTACAGCAACTAGTTGGCCTGCAGTCTAAAAGCAGAAACAACAACGATTAACAGAGTCATCTCGAGCATGCTAAAGATATCTATGCAGACCAATTAGTTAATTTGACCCCGCTTCTTCCTCTAAGGGAAGGCTTACAAATTAGGTTTTCTTTGCGAGCGCCTATTATTAGGCATAGGAAGCGAAAGACACTAGAGGCTATCGCGAGAGCACCCAAGACGAAGATCACGAGAAGTCTAGTAGACTCTCGAAGTGCGTGCTGCGATAGCGGGAGCAACAGCTATGCATAGATAACAACATAGCACGCTAGGCTGAGTGCAAAATTAAAGAGGAAAGGCGTCTGGGCATAAAACACAGAGCATGCATCGTCTGCCTAGGACTACTGTACCAACACATTCTTACTACAGTAGAACGTGTTGCTAAAAAGTATAGCTAAGTAGCAAGCAGTAACAAAGAGACCGATAGCGGATAGCAAATTGCGTATAGCTCAGCGATCTTCGCGAGCAAAGAAGTTCCAGTAAAAGGCGAGCATGCTAGCCTTTAGGAAGCCCATGCCAAAATCGTAGAAATAATTTAAAGCAAACAGTATCTGTGCTTGTAAGCAGCCTGATCTTAGACTTAGTCTGGTTCGTAACAGCAATATAAATCTCTAGACGAGGAGCATTAGGACGAAAACTCACCTTAGACAATTTCTAGGATCTCACATGTCTATCTAACGCGCCCGTTTAGTATATAAGTGTGTCGCAGATAACTAGAGCTAGGGCATTAGCCGCAGAGACAATTAACAAACAGTTAGCTAGGTTCAGCCTCTTGCGGAGACGAGATAGACGACTGTAGATACGCACAGCGACGGCTGCATAAACAACGACAAGAAGGATCTATTCTAAGATCTGTTTTACTTCTAGTTATTTCTTGTCGTCCTTCTCTAACTAGAGAATACAAAGATTTATTAGTTACTCACTATGCAGTGTTCTCCACTTATAGCATCTGTCATTCTAACTATGTGCAGGCCTAGATATAACGCAGTTCCTAGTGCGCGTGTTAAGAGATAAGGATAGTATGTGCTAGCGGCAACGCGGAACAGGGCAAGTTAGTAGTATAGACAGCAAGTTGTGAGCATATAGTATCTTGCGAGTGGGAAAGTGCTTCTAGCTAGTTAAGGAAGAAGTCGCGTTGCTGCGTTATAGTTATCGCATTTGGTGCAGACGGCCGTAGTACATTGCCGCCGCTATTTCTATCGCGCGTGCCCGACTTGCACAAACCGAGTCCGCGCTGCCCGACCTAGATCTTATCTAGACCCTTATGCGTCCTGGTCGAAGACGACGAGATGCTGGGACAGGCGCCAAACCACAAACCACTTAGGATGCTGGGTCTGCTCGCAAGTAAGACCAGATTCGTCGCCCTGCACCACAAGTGGTATCCTTAGTGCATAACGTTGGATGCGAGTTTCAGCGATGGCATGGCAAACGCGCGCCGACTGGACTTAACGGTCTCAACAGATTGTAATAGGTCTTTGCATAAACTGAAGAGGTGGGGCCACTGTCCGCTGTCGATAGCGGATGGCTAAGCCCATTATTATAGAGGCAGACTGGTGCACGCGCGCTAAGGCGCGCGTTTAGGAGAAACTGTTCCGACTTTAGGTGCATTTGACGGAGGGCGTCCCTTCCCTATCGATAAGACTGTACTAGTTGCATCGACGCCGAGGGTTTATCCCGATCTTTCTGCAGACCTGCAAATGCGCCTCCAGTCCATCTGTGTCTCACATCATTGCATCGACGATGATCAGATACAGTCACCGTGGATCGCACTGATGTCACGTCAGCGCTTCTGTTGCTATCGATGTCGTTCCAGTCTCTTCTAGCTCGCTCAAGTGCACCGCTATCGAATGGGTCCTGCAAACTGTTAGGTTTTGATAGGTACAATAGGACATAGTGCGTAGGTTAGCTGTAGAAATAAGGTAACCGTGTCGTCTTACTTAGACGAATCGCTATCGAGAAACGATTATCTGTGACTACACTGCAAACTCCAGGCTCAGCGATCTCACCCCTGACACAAACGAAGCTGTAGTGTGGCGAGCTAACAGGGTATACATTTTTGGTCTGCACAGTACCAATATTTAGAGCAGTCACTCAATTCTAGATTCTTTGGACTTGCTTAGAATGCTAGACTTAGTTTCTACACTCCTAGCAGGGTAGCACATCAAACATGGAGAGAACAGCTTTACACTGATGTTCCTGGCACGCTCATAAGCCCCGAAAGCGTGCTGATGTATGTAATGTAGAGCATTACGGATGATTCCACGTGCATCGAAAACACTATATTTATCTCTAAGCAATGGTGTCCTACGCAAATGAGAGATGGTGGGGCCGTTTAACCTATGCTCTGATCTATGTTGTGGGTCGCATAGCCACGTTTGTTCTGCTCTCATTTTAAATCCTAGGTCTTTCATACGCAGGTTAGTCATGCTCTAGTTATTACTTGTATTCGCAACACAGCGTTCTTTAGATATTTCGCTCCGCCGCTCGCTGAGAATTTTCCTTCATCTAATACTAAATCGCATAGACCCGCTCAAGCCGATGCTAGAGGGTATTAGCTGGCTTATGGGATTCAAGCGACAACCAGAGACGCCTTTGGACCTCGATCGATCAGCGCCTCGCAATCTACCTACATTTCTCATCTGACCTTCAGCTATTTTACCGAAAACCTCCCATCTTAGTCGCGATGGTGAACACGAGTACCTACACTGATATCGTCGGCAAACATTACGGTATCGGCAAGCAGATTGGCGAGGGTTCCTTTGGCATTGTTTTCGAAGGGATCAACCTGCTCAACCATCAGCAGGTTGCTATTAAGTTCGAGCTGCACAAGAGTAAAGCTGCCCAGCTGCGCAACAAGTATCGCATGTACAAGGCCCTCATAGGCTGTGGTAAGCTCTTTCGTCTTTGCTATTAATCATTCCCACATCGCTTGTTTGAGAGAATCAAAGCACTGCCTTTGTGTGGGAGATTACATTGGCATACATCTATACGTGCGAATCATAACGTACAATGAGGATGTTCTGTACTGTGTGCGATGGTGGTATTCCCATGTCCTGGTTGTCACCTATCAGGTAGCTATTCAAGCATCCTAGGAATTGAACTGATATGATGTAGCGGGGATTCCCAATATGTATTACTTCGGCCAGGAAGGCATGCACAACATCCTGATTATCGACTTGCTTGGGCCTAGCTTAGAGGATCTGTTCAGCCACTGCAAAAGGACTTTCACAGTCAAAACTGTGGTCATGGTTGGCAAACAAATGGTGTGTATATATATCGGTCCCACTACATTCCTAGTCTAATGTATCGATAGTTGTCGAGAGTACAGGAAATTCACGAGAACAACATCATCCACCGCGACATTAAGCCAGAGAACTTTCTCGTTAGCCGGCAGGGATCTGCAAGCGCAAATTCGATCTATGTTGTTGACTTCGGCATAGCAAAGCTGTACCGCGACCCTATAACGAAGCAACACATTCCGTACAGGGAGCGCAAGTCTTACACTGGTACAGCTCGTTACATAAGTACGAATGCACATCTTAGACGCGAGCAGTCTCGTAGAGATGATCTGGAGGCTCTAGGTCATGTTCTCATATACTTCCTCCTAGGTAGTCTTCCATGGCAAGGCCTCAAAGCTACTACCAACGAGCAGAAGTATGTGAAGATCGGGGAAATGAAGTAAAGAATGCCCGTCGAATACATTTGTGACGGCCTTCCTAGTAGGTTTCATTACCTGCGTTTCTACTGAACATAGCTGACAAGAATAGAAGAGTTCACCAAATACCTCAGCTACGTCCGCAGCCTAGGCTTTGAAGATGCACCTGACTACGACTACCTGCGCGGACTACTCACCAAAGCACTGAGAAACGCTGGCAAACTTGAAGACAATGAATACGACTAGGTGGATTTGAACGATAGAAGAGGCCAGGAAATGATTAGTGTCAAGTCCATGGCTCTCCCACAGGCACACCTACCATACGTCCACCACGACACCCCCACCGCAGTCGCCCTTCATGAGCAGGTGCGTCTTCCCGCCAAGCAGAATCACCGGTTCGATCCACTTTCAGATCCTACAACAACGCGATTTGTACCCGTAAGAGAGCGGGACCAAACAGCGTCGTGCCAGGCTCAGTTTCAGCAGAGCCAACTGAATCTGGACCAGACCCAACACTGCGCTCATTCGTCACAGAGTATAAACGCTCACCGACTACGACGGGGACAGGAACCTGGAACAGAGGGTTTCATGCAGCGGCTCTCTAGGCTACTGTGCTGCAACTGCAGCCGATAGCAGGCTTACTGGTTCACCCGATGTGGTGCATATTTCCTTTCGTGCTGCAACTTGTTCATAAGTGAAACTTGATGCTGAAGCCTTTTCACTTTCTAGTCAAGATTTACCAACACAGATTGCTTTGCTGTAAGCACTAGTGACGCTACTACCAGGGATGCGTGCTCTAGTAATCACATGCACCACTTGGGTTATACCATGTGGTAGTAGTTCAGGTTTCAATATCAGCCCGGGCTATGCAAGGATTTAGAGATAAATAATCAAGACCTTTCGTTCCAATTGCACAAGCTGACCTGCTCAAGAGTACTTTCAGCAACACCGTAACATGCTACCATCATTCCAATTCGACATGCGTTCCAGAGTCCCACCAGAAACCTCTAGGACAACAGTAGGACAGCCACACGATTAAATATTAGGTTGTTGTTCTGTCGCCCCGACGATCTAGGAAAGCATTCATCCTTCTTCCTCGGATGCGTCAGAAAACTCAGCTCCAGGCCTCATCATACTCATGACGTGGACTGGCGCCTATGGCCAACATATCTCCAAATATATCTCGGCATATGCAAGCATATTCCTAACGTCCCGCGTTCTCATCATCACCACGTCAGCAAAGGACATTGTCTAGAGAAGTTCTACCTACAAGCAAAAGCGCCTTTAACTAGCAATTAAGTACATAACACACCTATATGAATGTCCACAAATACAAAAACGTAGTACCTTGCTTCACATCTTCTCAGAAGGAGGTGCCAACAAAGCCTGCAAGCTTGCAATAGCATATCATGCCGTCACCAGCACGCAACTTCCTGTTTCAGTGATGTGCCTAGACAGCACCCCTGGCCATCCACGTTTCCTTCGGCTTTGCTCTGCCCTGGCAAAATCGTTCCCTCCGATACCCTTCCTGGAGCAATTCGCCACAGCAATCGCGGTCGTTGTGTTGGGACTAGCATGGGCCGCGTATCACGTCTTCATAGGGTATGAGAACAACCCTGTCTCGCGTTCAAGGAAACAGCTTCTCGACCCAAGCCTGTTTGCTGTCACGATTCCTAGATGCTATCTCTACTTGAAGAGCGATGCCCTAGTTGCATGGAAAGACATATACGAGCATAGGAGCGATTTAATCAAGCGTCATGGATGTGTGACGGAGAGTATCTTTAAAGACTCTGAACACGTGTCTCATGCAAAGACTGAACCAAAACAGTACTAGGACACTGTGAGAACTGTCTAGATTCACAGCCAGAAGATACATAAAGACATCGACACAAAACCCACACATAGAAATCCTCACATATCCGAACCATGTTTGTAGACGCGATCATCACAGATCTAGACCTTCTAGCGGAGGTAATGCCCGCAAATATAGCTCGAGAGCGAGAGATTAAGAGCCATAGCGCATCTATCTAAAACAATTCTCCCGCTAGGCCGTACATGTGCTCGACCAGGCCCAGATGCTGACATCTATTATCTCATATTTGTACATAACATGCCAGTGTCTTGTACGTGCAAGAAGGTGCAACATTAGTCGCCGATGTACTTCGATATAGTACTTGCAAGGAAGTAACGACTGCAGGACGGATAAACAATTCGTTATTCAATACACTACATCTCCAGCTGCAACAGGATAACACGAAGGCTAGATATTCACAAATAGTTCCAATGACGATTGCAACCCCAACCTAATTCTTAAGAAAGGCTCGAGCAGTGCAGGGCTGACGCAGTACGACAGTGTGACCCAGTACACACGACGGACTCAATGGCTAGTTTCGACTGCACCATCAGGACAGGTGGCCTTGTTGTGTCCTGTCTTTCTGCATTTTATGCACCGCCGTTTGCCAGTAGTTCTTCGCCTCCCTCCCTTACATCTTCTCACCTTAGTCCGTACCCCAGCATCTAAAGAATCATTCAAATACTCTCTGTCTCCACACGACAAGTTCTCGACATCTTAAGATAGCTTTCTTTTGTGTACCTTACATGTGGACGCAGCCTTAACCGGCATCTCGATCATAGGATGTAATACAGAAGCCCGGTCATCTGGAATCCGGCTGCTTGATAGGCTCCGGCAGACTTCTCCTTCAGTGGCGTTGATGATCGAATGTTGGCTCCTCACACGATCCCAGTACTCTTCGATGACTTCTGGACATTTATAGAAGTGTTTCTTAGGCTCCCACGTTATTTCTTCTTCAGGGTATCCTTTCTATTTAACTTTAAATTAGCGTTGACCATTACGCTCCCTGTGTTTCACTATTCGCTCAACCTAGTATTCGTCTTTTTCGTCTTCTTCGTCTTCACTAAGCGCTGTTGGCTCTTCCTCGGAATCATTAGCGAGCTTGATCTCACATAAGATGCGGCTGCTTAATGGGCTCCGGCAGACTTCTCCTTCAGTGGCGTTGATGGTCGAATGTTGGCTCCTCACACGATCCCAGTACTCTTCGATGACTTCTGGACATTTATCGAAGTAGCTCTCACCATCCCACCTCGTCTCGTCTTTAGGACATCCCTGCTTTTTGAAGCCATAGCGCTTCTCACCATTCCATTCTTGGTGTTCCGTGATTTCAACTCGGAATCGATGTCTTTCGTCTCCACCTAACTCTCCTAATTCTCTCATGATTTGATTCAGATCAAGGTTACTCCGTCCGCCTTCATCTCTTGTGTCGGTCAACTTGAAAGCAACACGCTGGTCTGCTGCTTCCGAATGTGAATCTGATCCGTCGATCGAATGAAGCCGCTCTTGTCTAACCGCTGACTCTGATACGTTCTCAGCAGGGCTACATACGCCAAAAGCCGAGGTTTCGGGGGAGCCTTTAGGTTCTCTGTCGCAGTCAAATCCGGAACCCGGTAGGTGCGCGTCTGCGGTCGATGCAGCTGTCAGTTCGGCTGTGTCTGAGGCCGTACAGGCTTCCAAAGGACCATGGTTCCGATTCAATTGCGATCCGCAATCTAGGTCCTTTGCGTCATGAATCAATATATCAGGGGAGGAGGGCAATTGCTCGCCTGGTTCTGATGGTTTTCCGGTCGCTGCGCCATCAAAACTTCCAGGGCTTGGCACGTCAATCGCTGTATCTGAGGTCAGAAGTTTCAGGATGTACTTCTCGACTGGTACTTACTACGGCTATGTGTACTGTTCATATGGGAGGCGGATGTTCCAATGTTTTCCTGCTCCTCAAGTATCAACCGCAATTGATCTCCTTCGCTAAACGAACTCCGTTGAGTCTCTGAGTAAGGTTGTTGCCTTCCGAAATCGTGGTTGGCGAATGACGAATTGTAATCACCAGTGGTCGCAACATCTTCCACAGTGAGCATGCAATGTGCTGTTGAGATTAGTACGAAATCTAGTCTTATCCTAACAGACCCACCTAAAGTACTGTTAACTGGACACAACTCTGTCGCTGAATTTGTTCTTAAGGTATTCGCGATATTTTGCTCTCCTTCTACAATAGCGACATCATCCTTGGCTTCGCATCCATCTGTCTTTCGATAGAGAGCAGCGACGTCGAGATAAATGCCTACATCAGTAAGTTCAAGTCAGTTAAGAATCAACATATTAGAATATGCATCAGTATACAGTACCTTGATCATTGAGAGTAACTGTGGCACCTGCTGTCGCAATCGAAACGGGTGCAGGCAATAGAGTAATCTTTTGTTGGAGGATATCGGCAACCTTGTTTTCTGTACAGTTTACGGATGGCCCCTTGTCGCCTAGCTTGTTCTCCGCTGCTTTATTCTTCTGTTTCCGCTTTGTAGTGTTTACTTTTCGAGGGCGGATTGATGATGGGATGAAGGCGCGGAAGCCATCGTCAGATGCACGGCTAGGTATAGAAAACATTCTGCAGAAGCCTTGACTATCTTCTTACAAGTTGAACGAGAAAGACTAGTGCTCCTGTCAACAACTTCTTTTCCCTCTTAATACCAAGGCCAAGACGGCTGTTCTATGAACGCACATGCTCTGCATGAATAATACCCCTGAATCAATAGAGCTGAGTGAAGCCAGGTATCGTGGCTTAAATTGTAGCATAATGTGAGCTACAGATAAATTAGCTCGAAGAGGCTATAGAGCCCGGCTGCACTGATGCTGATGCTTCCTTGCGTTCAAACTAGCCAATTATTGAGCCTTCTTACAGCCAGTATAGAGTAAGGATTATTAGTATTCCAGCTGCGCTAGGATTAGGAACCTTGAGGGGGCGGTTTGTTGAGAAGGTGTCTCTTAATAACTAGCCTATCGGCTCGCGAAATATAGTTGCTTGCATGAAATGAGGCTAACAGTTCATTTCTCGGACTCAGTCTGCCGTGTTCCATGTTGTCGTCTCCCTAGGCTATGAGTGATGTTGGCCACTCATAGCCCGATCGATGTTATTGTTGTGCTTCGACTGGCCACTTCCTCGGGCGGAGCCAGCTAAAAGTAGTATTAACTATTAGCTTTTGGTTTAGTGTCTGTAAAAGCCAAGTTCCATGCACCTACCCGCACGCAGAGTTCTGCATGAAAGTCATGCTTAATCAGTCCAGTCAATCCGACAGCAGGGGCAGGCTGTGATGTGAGCACAAAACGCGCTAGCCTGATGGTCTATTCAAGCTTAGACAGCCGTAAGGCGTGCTTCGAGGCTTCGAATTGTGAGCAGTTTCAAATCCCGATCCCGTACAGGTTGGAAGAGAGACAGATTTCATGGGAGTATGTCATATACGAGAGCGATAAATTGTCAGATCGGACTGCTCATGAAAGAGCAAGGACAGCCACTTTGTCAATGAGTACGATAGTTGACACTAGAACAAAAGCTGTGACTAAAGACCTAGATAGGGGCAAATATAGTAAGGGCTAGTTAGGCACAGCGCTAGGTCTGTGTGTGGATGTAAATACTAATGTGCGACGATAGTGTCTCAAAAGAAATTTGTCTGAGACAAGCAGAGCTGGATCAGGCGATGGCATCCAGTGCGAAAGGGCGGGAATAGAGAGATATAGCTGTCTGATGTAAGAAGATAACGGGGGCCATTAGCCTTTTGTGGTAGGAGTCGGATTACCCGAACAGGACGCAACCATTTCCTGATTTAGGGCTACTATTTCCTAATGCATGCTTTCCATAACAAAGATTACTAGAAGAAGTTTAAACTTAAGAGATATAAAAATAAAGCTTTAACAGTATAAGAAGAAGACAGAACTAGAAGTTTTATTTTTGTAACGCTCTAGGAAGTTAATAAAGGGGACTTAAGTACTTTGCTAGCGAAGGAGCTATAGCTAGAGTTAGTGCTATAGGCTGTAAGAGTAGGTTACAAATATGCTTGCACCTTTGCAGCTGTATCTTAGACAGCAACAGAATTAGGACTCTTAATACATACGCTAACAGAAGTAGGAAATCTAAAGAGCAAGTTGCCTCTAGCCTCTCTTAGCAAGATTAGAGAGGTTTTGCGGCAAATCGCCCTCTAGAAACAATATTACAAACCGCTAGAATCGGCTACAAAGACGCTGTTGGATTGTTTAAGAAAGTAAAGATTTAAAATCCGAAAGTAAATCTGCACAAAATAGCTTCTTTTAATTTTCTATACCTAGCTTTATTACTATACTATCTAGCCTTAATTCTACTACTTTAATCCTACTCCTCGTTCCTTATCGCTTTCTTATCGCTACTAACAAAACAGCTTAATTGCAGTACAATTAAGGACATCCTCTAGGGTAGGCTTCTTTCGATTTGTCCGTAGCCGCGCAAGCGCAGCAGCCTTCGGACGAGGACATCAAGGCACTCAACAAGCGCCTCAAATAGCAGATAGAGAATATCGACCGTGGTCTACGCTATGTACCTGTTGATCTCATCAACGCCAAACTGATGGTATTTGTGGACGGATCATTTGCAAACAACAAGGACCTCAGTTCGCAGCTAGGCTTCGTATTGATGCTCGTCAACGAGTCTACAGACGTCGACAATACGTTCTCAATCCGCGGCAACGTAATACACTATAGCTCGACGAAGTGTAAGCGCGTTACACGGAGCGTGCTCGCCTCCGAGATCTATGGCATGGTCAACGGCTTCGACATCGCCATCGCCATCGCAACCACCTTGAGGATGATCACAGAACGCCTCGGAATACCTGTTATTCCCTTAGTTATCTGCACCGATTCGTACTCCCTGTACGAATGTCTTGTGAAGCTCGGGACGACAAAGGAAAAGCGCCTTATGATCGATATCATGGCGCTACGCCAGTCATACGAGCGTCGCGAGATCACTGAGATTCGTTGGATCAATGGCGAAGACAACCCTGCAGACTCCTTCACCAAGACATCACCAAATCGCGCCCTTGAACGATTCGTCGACAGGAATGAGTCGACAGTCCGAGTCGAGGGCTGGGTACAGAGGCCAACAGGCTCTGATGTTTGATGCTTTTATACACAGTCACTACCGACATACACTATCGAAAAGAAAAGACTTCCAGTGTGGGAATCAATACGGATAGAGCCGTGTACTGTTGTTAGTTTGGTATGTACCGTTGTTAGTACGTACCGGGCCGAGCAACATCCGGAGGGGATCCGACACCTATATAGCAGAGATATCTTCGTAGAGAATAAGATCACCGATTATCCAAAACAGAATGCATTCATATTTACAGTTATTTCCTTTCACTAGTGAGCCTTCCAATAACACCAAATATCTGCAAATTAATTAAATATACAGCTTCAAAACACCAATCAAACAACCAAATACGGCGCGGTTGCCAAGCCTTCACCAGACAATCAAATACAGCAGGCGATATTTGATTGATTTGTTTGTTGCGGAGTCTGCAAACCCAGTGCCAACGTGGCAACATCTCCAGCTACCCGTACCACCGGACGCGTATCGAATTGACCAGAGACGCGAGCAATGAGCAGCTTCGAGAAATGTTTCCAGAGCGATTAGGCCCTGAGTTCGTATCAAGACTTCGTTGATCAGCCCTTTGCGGGGCTCATCGTCAGCTTCTTTGAATATCCCCGTCGCAGTCCTGAAGATGGCGCTTTCGTGCCCGATGCGGTCTATGACGAATGTAAACGGAACAGTCGAGACGACTTTACCCGCCTCCACCGCTGTGCCAACCGCATGCTCTACTGTCCTTGCGGCACTGCCTATGACAATTTGAGCGACCTGCCCCACTCCGTCAACAACACCCTCAAAAGTGTTGATGACTCCTCCAAGTAAGTTGGCCATTTGCCCAGAATAATCCAAAGTGAATTGCAAAAGGTAGTCGTGTGAAACTCTGCTAGAATCACCGCGCGATGGTTCTAGAAGGGGTTGAAAAGATGAAAGGCCTCAGGTTTTGAATCGTTCCTTCCGCCGCTTGGCTCCATACTCATCTTGCCATCTCATCCAAACGCCTGATGCAGGATATGAAACTGCCAGCCAGCCCAATGTCGAGCCAACTCGCCCTCCTACCTATGGGAGTAGGTCTTATGATCTTCTCAAGCCAACGGGAGCGACTTCTGCTCATGCTGTGCAAGTATGCAAGCATCTCAGACTTCAGCTCTACATCTCCATACATGTGATTGCGGGATTGAGTATGAGCTCTTCATACTAGTAGTGTATGATGGCTTGTTTCTGGGGTTAAAAAGAAATTCGAGGTGGCAGAGATACAGCAGATCATCGGCCATATGCTTTACCGGACATGACAGAGATGGCGCATTCTGGACTCGAAAGATGAGTAATCCAACATGATGAAGCCTTCATTGAAACTTACTTCCCTACGCTTTCACGTGCCAACGTAAATTCAAAGTGTTAGTGTAGCTTGCCGTTAGCCAGTGATTAAATGTGGTCTGACTTTATCTTGGTCGGGTCTGAGGACCATGCTTATCTAGACTGGTATTAGCGGCCTGGTTTTGCGCGCTATGCCAAGTAGCACCTGATCGGTCAATTCAGCCCTGGTGGCCAGCATAGCACGATGCTTTAAGCTACTTTAGTACATGGAACGCCCGCTTATCTGGCGTATGTTGTGTTACCCCCGATTCCTCTTTGCCTTGAGAAAACAGCAAAGCCACTGCCGTTACTGCACTGACTCCTACGTATGCCCATACAGCATTTAGGCAGAAATTGGGCTACAATTTGTATCGAGAAGCTCTCCGTAATGTTTTACTGCTGTCACGGTAACCGCCTGGTTGCCTGACACCTAGCATCTGCTGATTGGCTAAGCGCTGCCGAGGCGCTACGCGCACGAGCCACCACCACTGATGTACTTCGACCTGCGAATTTCTGTTCTGTTCCTTACGCAACGTCTTGTAAATGCGTGAGAACCGTACGTAGCGAATTCAATCAAGCTTCTGAAGCAAGCCTTGGCGTTCCCGCTCGTTGCCTCTCGTGACAACTGCAACCAAAGACGAGTAAACCCTAGTTCAACACACTAGGCAAAGAATACTGCAACAACAAGAGCAAATGCTGCTGTCGCAGAGCTTCTGTCCACTGCCTGTCGAGCCACCCCACTACCTGTCGGTCCGGATGTTGCCGCAGCTCCAGCACCTGCCACTGACGAGGGCGCCGGCGGAACATATGAGCTTGTTGGTTCTAGACGCGAGACTGTGCTGCTCGAAGCAGGAGACGTGCGACTTGCTGGTCCCGACTGGGCAGTTCTTCCACAGTATCGATTCGAATAAACAGCCGTTGGATCCAAGGTTTTCCTCAGACAGCTTTGGTTGGCATCAATGTCGCATCGCGACCCCCAATACAGCATGTCCTCGTTGCAGAGACAGCTGTTGAGATCTGTGCCTGGCGTATTGTACGCCGAATTGCACGAGGTCATGGCCACTGTTAAGCTGTCGCAATCCAATACATAGCTGAGACAGTCCTCTTGGTCGTATGCTGGTGGTTTTGTGACGACCATCGTTGTTGGCGAGAATGTAAGCACTTCTTGACACACTGTAGACCAGCTGTAGTAGAATCCGGTGGTTCCTTCGAAGAGGCCGTCGATCATTGAGTTGGGGAAGCAGTCCCACATTTGCTGGTGGCAGCTGAATCTTGTCAGCCTACGAGCAAGCTGCGGATCGTGTGGACTACTCACCCTGCCATATAATTCAACACGCTCTGCTGACAGTAACAGTCCGCCTGTGAGCTCGGGTTGTCTATATGGGCACACGACTTTTGCTTATCGAGCATCGAGGTACGGCTGCTCATTGTAACAACGGTATTCAAGCAGTTAGTAGGATCCAAGATCATGGACTCGGTGACTGATTGTGCCGCTGTCAGGGTCAAAAGATCGACCAGAATGATTATGATCATGGCGAAATTGTCGGGTTGGACTGCCATCCGGACGGATAAGTCCGCTCAGATGAGCTGTACTGGTACCCAGGTAGCCATAGCTCTCTAGTTTTATTTACTTTCATCAGCTGAGGTCGCCGAGCAAACTCCTCACCCTCTTCTCCAACGCTCGCCAACGTAGCGCCATTTCGCATCGCCTAAGTCTAGGCCTTTTGTATCCTTGATTTGTTTTTGCGGGAGAACGTGTCGTCGGCGTTCATATTCAGCTGATGAGACCCTGAATCGCTTTAGCGCCTCGCTTGGATCACGTGGCACTTGGCACATCAATCATTCGTTCTGTCCCGTCGAACGTTAGTCCATTACATCCTGAGCTTATCCACAAATGTACCCTATGCTTTATCCACAACACTTCAGTATTCACCCGGAAAGCCGCCGAACACGAGCCTTGGCCAAAGAGGAGAATGTCACATGTGCCTTGGCCAAAAGCTGAGAACCTAGCAGCCAATGAGTTGGACCTGGCCGAAGCCACTGTCAAACTATTCCAAAATGTGTTACATGTGCGTCCAGCTTGAAGAAGAAGACAAGATAACAATGGAAAGCAAGGCAAGATGCCAGTCCACTGCAATTGCCGCTCCAGGTAGCGTTCAACCTGCATCCCGACAACTTCTACTCTCAATATCACGAACGCACACTCTGCGTTGTCTTCCATCATGCCGCCCAAGCGAGTTCAATGGCGTTCCATCGTTCTTCGCCCCTGGGTAGTGTCTCTTCTTTTGTTCGCAGAAGTGAGTCTAATCTGTGCTATCGCAGCTCTTTGGGTTCTGTCGGAGGTACACACAGGCTTCGTGAACGTCGGCTTTCGAGGATCCGGCTCCGCAATTTTCAGCAAACAAGGCGCACTCGAGCGTGGTCAGCCCCTGCTATGGACAACTTTACCGTTCATTATGCTCACGCTCTATCGCCTCTTCCGTGAAGCTGTCGTCGGAGCTCTCGTTGTCGACGCACCGTTCGTCGAATTACACAAGTCCTCATCTGATCGGCCTACCAAGATACGAAAGTCGATATATCTTGATTATCGCACGTCACTCAGCATCGTAGCATGGTCCAAGGCTCTCAAGAATGGACATACATTTCTTGGCCTATGCATGCTGTTTTCCTTTGTGGTATCACTTGGGCTGGTACCGCTGGTTGGAGGTCTTTTCGCCGAAGGGGAAGAGCTTCCTGCGACCAACGCAATTTTCAGTCTAGGATCTATACTCGATAGGACTACAGATATCACCGTCGTCGACTATGGTCTCCTCTTTGACCTTGTTTCTGCCTCCTGGGTCCATACTGCTCCTTATCCTCCCGGAACCGACGGAAACTTTCCTCTTCCAAGCGTGGCACCCGTAGGAGATCTCAAGAACTATACCATCTCTTTACCGGCAACCACCTCTCAACTTTCCCTCGATTGTCAGGTCATCAGTGGCGCAGCATTTACCACAGACAAGGAGACGGAAAACATAAAAAATCGCCGTTTCTCCGCTACCGATCGCGATTGCTTGATCTCCGGAGACATTGCTGTCGGAAATAACAAAGATTCTTATTACCTCGGAGCGTTTTCCCAGCAGGACTGCCCTGACGTCGCTGGTCGCACACGATTGGTGCTCTTCTCTGTTCCAGTTGACTCATCTGATGGAATGCAAGATCCGACCCTAATATCCTGCATCCCGTCATACTGGACTGTCAATGGCACACTGGGCGTGGTTAGAACGACAGACTCCACGAACCGATCGGCAGAAACACCTTCTTTCTCAGAATCTTCTCGGAGCATCGAAGAACTTCCCGATATCAAACGCCAACAATTCGAAGAGGGCGTCGCTAAGGTACAATCCATCAACATAGGAAGCAAGGTTAACACACCGGATCGCCTCGCAGAACTGGTGGCTAGGTACATCGACAACCATGACTTGGAATTCGCAGAGGACAATTTGATCAAGGCTTCGAGCACTGTATACCCCGCTGTTTATACAATGCTCTGCCTAGACAAGTTCTACCCCACCTTAGCACAACCGATCCAGCAGGGGGGCGTTCTACACATACCTGAGAACCGATTACATGTTGTCGAGCCTGTGGCGATTGCCATGATCACCTTCCTCGTTATACTTGTTGTTGAGTCTATATACCTCATCGTTTACCTCCACAAGTATCCGAGTATACTTGCAGAAGAGCCCATTGGACTTGTCGGTGCTGCAAATTTGCTTCATAATAGTAACATTTCGCGTGTGATTGCAAAGTTCCATGAGGAGCCTAGATTCGACGGTCGACTTCGACGGCCACTGAAACAGGACGATAAGAAGCAGGACAAAACCAGTAAGAAGCAAGAGAAGGTTAACAGGAAGCAGAACAGGGCAGACAAGAAAGAGGAGAAGGAGAAGGTTTCAAACACGGATGACAGCCTGTTGGCCAGAAAATGTTGGGTAGAGCGAGAGCCCGACGCATGGGAACTGAAGATCCTAGTGGAACCCAGAGCTGTCGATGCCCCTTTCCCTGAACATGCATTCTCCGCATCTCAGAAAGACTCTGCTCTGCATGCAGCTCAGCCAACACGTTCTGACAGCGGGCAACCGACACAAAATGTAGCATCACTAGTTTAATCTGCTGGTTCATCTCATACTTTCGATATCATACCGATCCGGTTTGCTACAACTTTCCGGTACCAATGGACGCGGCTGCACAACAGCGATCACATTTCCGCGGTGGAAAGCAGCCTAGAATGGGAGACACGAGATATGAAGACGTTGATACGAGTAAACAGCCTCAGCTGAACTTGAGACACTTGGCAGCTGCCCTAGCCTCCTCATTTGACTCGTCACACCGTGCCGAGCTAGCGAAGAATGTGTTTATCTCCCGTAGCATACGAATCAATCATAGTCTCTTGATTGTAGGGTGGCAGCAAGGCAGACGTGCTAGTCCTTCATGGTTCGAGACGAGCGAGCTACTAATCCACATCTGCTCGCCACTTGTGTTGAATCCGTTTTGAGGCAAAAGCAAGAGCGAAATTCGGCTAGCCAATAGAAGCTGTGATCAAAGAAGAACGCACGATGGGATACACACCCATCACGGGAGCATGTTTTTATTGAGCTAATGAAGCACAGAACAGTAACTAGATACACCGGGTGACAATCGTGTAGGCGTTCGTCTGCCTGGTCTACCCAAGGCAAAAGTAGGCAACTAAAGACATGCGCCTGAAAACCAAGGCTACGTACTTCATTTCGAGTCCAGGGAGTATTTCCAGCGCCTGCAGTCCACCAGCCTAGAACGCGTTGCCCACCATGACCAAAACAGCATACAAAAACCCACTCCTACCAGCAACGGTGTTCAGACTTGCCGCTCCAGTGAACTCAGGAAGTCCAGACGATACCGACGTCGGCTTCGTGCTTCCAGAAGTTGGCCTCGCAACTCCCGAAGTCAGCGAAGCAACAACAGAAGTCACATTCGAGCCAGCAGCCGTAGTTGTAGGGCCGACGAAATCAGGGGGCAAAGTGACGCCGTTGGCCAGAGCGCACGCCTGGGGATCCTGCTCCTTGGGACAGCACCAGCCGTCGACGAGGCAGTAATCATTATCCAGGCAGCCCCCTGAGAGAATGTGTGAGCAGAGAGAAACGCAAACGATGCAAGGTTGGTGAAGAACACTTACAGGGATCGGCTGAACCTGGTTCACAGCACACGTGTCCCAGGTCTGGGTTGATGCAAAGGGCGTCACCACATTCGACAGATCCAGCACCGCAAGCTATCTCGCATGTGGCCCCGGCGCCGCATGTGTATGTGGACGGTTGGTACTCTTGTCGTTTTCCGAAGACGTGCGGGTTCAATGCGTGGAAGTCATGGAGAGAGAGAGCAGTCGTAACAGTCAGAGCCGCAATAATGAAGCGAGTGAAGAACATCTTAGCGATCCGAATAGTTTGCTATAGCTTATAGAAAATAGAAAACGAGCTTGAAATATGTACAAACATGAGACATTCCCCTCTCCAGCATACTTATATATCCGCCTACACAGCCGCCTCGCTGTGCTTGGTTAATGCAGAAGTTCCTGGAATTCTCCGCAGAGGGCTTGCGTTAGACTTCTAGTCGCTCGTTTTCAAAAATAGAGATCAGGAGAGGGAAAGCCACGGGGATTGGTGTGGCTTGAGTCACTCCACTTTTTCTCGCTTTCCCTTTCGCATTCGACGATGCGCGGATGTAGTGGAACTTCAGCTCAGCTCAGCGGCTGGACCATCGTTTTTGATACAAGTGATTGAGCTAGAACACAAATTCCACAGCCTAGGGTCCGTGTATTCATTTATCCAGCTGATCTCACCAGACTGATAGCGGGACGGCGACCATTCCAAGCTACCAGGAAGCACCATAGTTCTTGCATGCTGCTAGCTGAGCAGGACTTAGTAGTTTCAGCCCCCGCTGTATCGCTAGAAATTACTTAAAGGAATTCTTGGCAGGAAAGCCTGACCTGCCTACGCTCTTCTCGATAAACGTCACGGAAGGAGAACTAAGATACTAAGACGAAGCCACGACAATCAAGCAATACAACAAGTCCAAGCCGTCACCAAAGCTGAGCAAGAGCTGAGACAAAGCCCCAGACGAGCTGGGATAACATGTACTTAACAACAAAGCGAGCTGAAAGATGCCAAGACCTCCTCATCTAGTAGTCCGCAGCAAGGTTGTTGTCGGGCTGAATACATACACACGATACACACCAAACCCCGCACGATGCGCTTCCGGAAAAGTAGCAAAGGCACCAGCGGAAGCTTCCACCCTATGCTAAGGACGTCACTACTAAGGCTACTAAGAAGATCGCTAAGCGCGTGCTCTAGCGCACCTTAAACAAGACACTTACAAAGACAACTACTAAAGACGTGCACACGCTCACATGCTCACAGCACGAAGCGTTAGTGGCTTGCACATAGATTAAGGCTATTGATTCGGGTGGAACCTAGATAGCTATCTAAGTCCTTGTTCCTATGCTCTCTCTCTTGAACTACCTCACTCCGACAACAGCCATTTCGTCTTCTCCTCAAACTCGTCGCCGAACTGCAATGTCTCTAGCCAGCTTTCCGGAATCTTCCCCTTGCCATCTCTCGCCCCCAGAGCCCCTCCAGCAATCGCACCATTCGTATCCGCGTCCCCACCCAGCCTTACAACATCGACCAGGACGTCCTTGAAAGATCTCGGGTCCAACAATGCAGCAACAGCCAGCGTTAGCCCGTTGAGCACGTATCCCGTTGTTATGTCTGATCCCGCGCTCTTTGGTCCCCGGTCTGCAAGTTTTGCCAGATCGAGCGTCTCGCCCCGGGATATGGCAGCCTCGACATGTGTCTGGCCCTGCTCTTGAGCGACCAATCTGCCTTGTTCCACGGCCTCTCTCACTTTCTTGCCTTGAACCAGCGCGGCGACCATCTCGTTGTAGGCAGCGCACGAGACGGTGCAGCGGGTATCGTTATGGGTAATGGCACTGATGGCCATGCTCTCCCGCACTCTCACTTCCTTGCTATCGGAGAAGAGCGCGGTGGGTATACAGCGCATCAGGCTTCCATTGCCGGCGCTTCCGGGGCCAGCACCGCTCCTTGTTGCATCTCCCGTGCTGTCGTAGTTTGACAGGCCAGTTTGAGTCGCGCATCCAATGTCAACCGGCATGCTTCCTGGCTCTCTGTCAGGCCAATCGCCAGTCAGCCATGCGAGGCTGTAGTCGGCTGCAGCCTTGACCACATCGAACTCGCTCCCTTCTCGCCCAGCTCTTGTTTCGCAATGTTTTCGGCGATCCGAGTACGCCAACAGGACGGCTCGCGTCAAATCCGTGTCATCGGTTGCATGTCCGGGAGGCCAGGAGAAGGAGCCACCTCCGACAATCTCCTGCAGACCATCTGGGTACTTTTGCTTGATGGTGGAATGATATTCAAACTCGAGGGTTGCGCCGAGAGAGTCGCCAGCATGGACACCCAGAATGGCGCCGAGGCTTCTGGATAGGCGATTGTCGTGGTTGCTCATGGTGAATTTCGTGTTGTGGGTACAGATTCGATGGGGAAGCGGATGCGGTTCGCTTTTGTAGTCGCTGAAAGGCGCGTGTCCAAGACTGCAGCCTAGAATCAGGTGCGCTAGAGCATCGAACCAATCCCGTGTCATAAGCGCAGCATAAACAGCTTAGCTTAGGTAAAGAGGTAAGCTAAGTGGTATAGATTTGCCGGCAATTCTATATTTCTTGCTCTAAGAGTAACGCTAATCTCACGTTAGTGATACTGCCTGGAGCCTAAATTTTTGTCTTGCGAAATCCTTCGAACTCTCTATATTAACAACCATCACTTAGTGAACGTGAGTGTCGTCCAGCGCTTCTGCCGCCTCTCGCACAGCATCTTCGTCCTCTTCATCGCTATACACCCCAAGCGCCGCTCGAAATGCCTCTCGGTCCCAGTTCCGTCCTTCCCCATCTCCCGGCCACCCAGCTCTTCTCATCTTACGCACAAGCCTCTTGAACTCTTCGTCCGCGTCATCAAAGTCACAGTCCATTGGTATCGCCTCAACGACATCTGTTTGGAGGCCGATCCAGCGAAGCTCGTGGAACCGCTGTTTGCAGAGCGCAAAGAATTCGCGTGGGTGATAAACATTGAAACCCTCCCGCCAACGCTCGGCTTCGTTGCCAGCGTAGTGCTCTTGCACCACGGCGTTGAGCTCTGGTGCTGGCTCGTCGTGCTGACCGTTAGGATCCCCCCAGTAGATGTAGCCATCGGCCGTGTTGATCACGAGATTGTAGCCGTTACGCCCGTTGCTGTTGCCGAAGGAGATGCATGACGACGGTAAGGGATCGCATATGGGCTCCACGTAGTATTCGAGATCCCCGTCGCGGATCCGCTTCTGTATCTCTTCGCTGCGGTAATCCTGGATCCGTGTGTTCACCATGATGACGTGCTTGCCATAGGCTTTGTCTGACTCAACAAAGTCTACAAAAGGCATGCGGCGAAGCAAGTCGATGACTGCATCAGTCTTGTGCAGATTGGCCATGATGGATTGTGTGATCGATGGCCAGCCATTGCTGGGCGCTTCCGCGACGACCGAATTATCCCAGAACACTCGATTGCAAAACTCGTAGTAGTTCGTCAACAGTGTGATAAACTCGGCTTGATCAAAGGCCATGGTAGGGGAAAGTGAAGAAGGACACTAATTGAACACGTTGGAGCGTGGGAAGGGTTGATAATTTATGTTGACGGTTAAATGGGGTCTTCCAAGGTTGTTACCCGCCAACACCAACGGACCCTGCCGCCCAGGGGAGTAAGCACCTGCGCTGCAGTCTGCAGGTCATACAATCTCGCTACGAATGCATCCACATCTCGGCGCGGTACAAGGAGGAAGATGTACCGCGTCGTTACGAAGCAAGTACTCCCAGCGCGTCAGGAACTTTGCACGCCGAAACGTCTGCCACATCAGCAAGGAAGGCTTCCTTCCCGCCTTCAAGGACGCGCTGTTCGCTGTGGTTACAGAGCAGAAGCTTTTAATGGTCTTTGGAGCAGCAGAGCTAGTTCTCATCCACGCGCAGGCTGTGTTGGATCGCCTTGAAGTGCGGCTGCGTGCCCCGCCAGAACCCCTCCTCCTAGGAACACCGTGGCAGTCTAAGACTCCAAGCAATACTCATGGGTGCGGATCTCTGTCAAGAATTGTACACAATTTCTTTACTCGTTCGTCTGTTACAGCATTGGCTGGCTTCTCTCAGCTCATGACGGGTGGTGGACTGATGCTGCATCGAAACGCGCTCTAAGCCTCGCAGATCCACGAGCTTGTAGAACAAGTCCGCAGCGATACCCAAGCGAAAATCGCAAAAGCACAAGCGGAATTGGCAAGGTGAAACTATGGGGTATAGGACTGCTGCAGCGCGGGAAGCAGCTAAGGCTTCTGCAGGACCGCAGCAATCTAAGAGAGCTCGTGATCACGAACCAGCCTAACCAGCTCTACAGCGCTGTTGAGAATGCAACGGGACTGACTACCACGCACGGACGTGCAAACAGAGGAAGAGATATTTCTTATGTCAGATGCAAGCACGACGTAAACAAGCTGCTTGTTCGATAGGAACGACATTGACGATGCGTCACATGAGTTGGTCGTGCGACATGAGCTTCACTGTGAGAGTACGGGAGTATGATACTCCGGACCTGGTATCAACAACCGTCCTGCTTAGATAAACGTTGTTGATGGGCAGCCGATCATTCCATCAGATACAACGATATGTTTAGCAAGCGGCGCGTTCTTTATTGCGCAAGACGTCTTCATAAACGTGAAGAACTTCAGCATCCGAGGGCTGTGATATTGTTCTTGACCTGGACGCGCACACGCGACTTCTGCATCTGGGAGATCAAGGGAACTCGACCGTGAAGCTATTTTCATTGAGCGATCGAGTCATATTCTAGTGGAACGATTGACGCGCCCCAGCTCATCTGGTTTCGGTCTCCCTGTGATCAAAGGTGACAATGTCTCTATCAATCGGTGCCGCTCGTCCTCCAGCTATGGCAACGGTGATAGCGTGTAGCTTTCTACTGCCACAATGGTATCATCAAAACTTCCTTCGGCGCAGATTCGACGACGGCATCGCTATCTATGGCCATTGCTCAGAGTACTCTGACGGTACGAAGGATACCATTATTCGTAATCGTACACTGCTACCAGACGTTACGCATACTGCAAAGATAGGCACTCACGGAAATCCTCAGTAGCCCGAACCGTTTTACAACATTCAAATAAGCAACGTCGATATCTTACATCATAGCAAACATCAGTCGTGGTATAAAGGTTGCATTTTCATCGATGCAGCTGACGGGAACCTCGTCCAGGACCTCCTTATTGAATGTATTCACGTTGAGAAGATATGTACGCCATGCAACGATGTTCAGGGCATGAATGAATCCTGTACCAGGGCGTATCGCGATTTCGTTACCCAGAATCTGACTGCGAACATCGAGGGCGGTGGTGGCGTTTATGGGTCAAGTTCAGGAGGATACGACTCCTTTGGCCAGGGAACCCTGCTTTATTGGATTACCGACCAGTAATTAGTCCATATTTGACGGTCTGTTGCCACTGATGTCCTAAGAAGCCATGATTAGCTCGTGATCCGAGGTCATGTAGCTGTGGTTCGTACAAGTTCGCACAAGTTCGTACATGTAAACTAATGCTGGATTGTTCGCGTTGACAAGCACTAACAAGCTAGGTTACTAAACATTCTATCTGACCGCTATCGAGACTCTTCCATGACAGAATGAACTGCACCTTCAAAACTATCTTCTGGTAATCCCAATCTCTTGTTGAAAAGATCCTTGTTCCTCCAATCCACGAGACCCCATTTCCCGAGCGCAGTTGCCATACTTAGATCCGCAATACCCATCCAATCACCCTTGATGCACCGCGTATGGCCTCTAATTTGTAAGTCCTGAGACGTGGTATGTTCGACTGTCCATTTCTGGCCATCAAGCTTCTCGATAGCCGCGAGCATATCGCGCTGCGTCATGTGGAAAGAAGCGATGAAGACGTATTGGTTCTTCGTCTCTTCAAAGTTTTCGATGCATCCGCGGATAGCTTTAGCAATTGTCCGCATCCGGCTGAGAGAGCACATGGTTGTGCCGTCGTCGATGAGCGTCGCGGTCCTGGTCTTGAAGTCGAAGCCAAAGAAGCCGTGTCTCAGACCCCACTCGGTAAATCCACCAGCGATAAGTGCCGTCCAGGTCAGGCTGCTTCCTTTCTCCTTGGACTGCAGGTATCGCACCAGCGCGGCTTTGTACTGTGTACTGTAAGGATTGATCTCGTTGGTTTTGAAATCCCGGGTATCAGTGCCATATTCAGCAGGGAAGAATCTCTTGACACCGGTCGCGAGAGCTGCATTGACGAAGATCTGCTGGTGTGGTGCGCCAGATAAGCCCACGTTGCTAATGACCACGTCTTGGCCCTTCATGGCGCTTTTGATGGCCTATAGGTCCGAGTAGTCGACTTTGAAAACGTTTCTGACGCCCGCTGGAAACGTAGCGCTGGAATCTTTCCGGCTCATGACACTTAGTTCGTATGTTGAGTTGAGGAACTCGTCCAGCAGTTCGACGCCGAGGTCTCCACCTGCCTGTGTTCCTCGTTCGTTAGCATTCCAAGATCTGGTAGGTTGTTCACGTATAGCCATTTAGCAGGGGATCTGCGAGAAACGTCGATTCACCTACGCCGATGAGCAAGACTTTCTTGTTTGCAGACATATTGGGTAATAGAGGACTATCAACAGGCCTGTATCTTCGGATGTGACGAATTGTATAGTAAGTAAGATTTTCAGAACGAGACGCAGTGGATGGGAGATGCGGTCTGGTCATAGCCGAACGATCACACGATACTTGTACACGCATCCATTGTGCTTCTGCCTCAGAAATACAGTCCTACATTGACATTATGGATTAGTCGCATTAGTCAGTATGGCTATGAATAACGGACGAGCAAATAAGATGACTTAGCTTCACGATAGTCGGCCCGAGAAGAGTAAGACTAAATCTTGTAACGCACTTGCGAATTCGCGGCATTTTGCCAAGCCTCACAATAGCGATAACCAATCTACGAAATTGCAACACAAGGTTGAACAATGCCATAGGCTGCAGCACACTAAGCCCTTCCGCAATGCATTGCGAGCGATTGTCTTGGATTAGTGATCTACCAGGACCGGACCAGTATTTCGTCCGAGCTACATAACAATGTAGTGCGCCAACATGAAGAACTTCTTACAAACCGTACTATCGAGGTTCTAACACATGGTGATCAACTTGGCAGACAAGAGCGTGTCATGATAGTGGTAGGTCATCGAAATGTTGGTAACAGTCGTGTTATCTGGAAGGCAGGCATTTAAGAAGCGCAACATTCCTAGTCTCATCACAATCGATACATCCATCCATACCCTCCCCTTGAGACATTCGCCGAATGAATCCACTCAGATCACCAAAAATGTCATTGCTCGATCAAGATGGCGCATTCCTACCTATTTCGACTACGGCAAGCACCGTGACAGCCGATGAATGGATTTCAGCCATCAACTTCATCAACCGAGTCAACTTCTACTTTGAAAGTAACGATCAAGAGCAAATGGCAAACGAATTCAGTCCCAACGCCAAGGCACACTTCCCTGGCATGAGCGTCCGCGGAGAAGAGGAAATAAGGGCCCTGTTTCGGGACAAATACAGCGTTATGATCCCGGGTGTGAAGCGCTATGCAACGAATCATATCGTTGATCGCGACGAAGAGACCGGCGGCGTGATTGTGCGCTATCAAAACCAGTTGGTCCGCTATGCCTGGCCGAAGGAAGTCGGCGCCCCTCGTGGACCCCGTGTCGCAGAGGTGCTCGTGACATCGGAGGGACTGCCACGTATCTGGCAGTGTTCGACAATCATGGATCGACTGGAGAAAAGGGGAAGCGGGTGGTGTATTTGTGAGCGATACGTAGGAGACCACATTGTCGATGAGACATTGAATCCGGATAAGCAGCCGTGTTAGTGTTACTTGCCGCTCTATTTGTTTTTGTTAGACGGCATACTTCGTTCTTCATGTGCTATGCTCTGCGTATACCTGCTATGCATGTAACTCTAGTGACCTTTGTTCTATACCATAACATTGATCTGTTCTTTCTACCGTTCGCTCACAACACCGGTGATGAGACAACTACCGTGGCGTCTACAACGACGTCATCATGGTGGGGCCGGGTCTGGTGAAACATATCCAAACGGTCATGGCTATGCGAAAGGATGTAGAAGACTTGTCTTCGTATTTGTCATATGCTGCTACTTCTTCGCTCGTCTTTTTAGTGCTTCTACCCCGCGCGCACTATGGTTATGTACCTCGGAAGGACGGCAGGCATCTGAAGACTGGTACTTGCTGCATCCGCGACGATGACGATGTCGTACTACAAAAGATAAGCTTTGGTACCGCTCGCGAGATACCAAGCATCGACCTCGTTTCGTCATTGTATTGCTTCGAGTCTTCCTCACCACCACGATATCGATACCTTTGATCCGCACTTCCCTCCAATACCACCCCGACTCCTACGTCTACTGCTCCCACAAGTCAATACCATGGGTGTCATGAGCGTGACCTCCGAGACGATCTTCAACTACCCACCAGACGTGATTTACGACTTCGTAGGCAATCCCGTGAACTGGGGCCGCACATACAAAGGCAGCGCTGGCCTTCCATCCGATGCCAAGAAACTTAATTTCCCACTCAAGGTCGGCGACGTCTGGACGGAAAAGGTGGCCTTGGCGGAAAACACGTATCATGCAAAGTGGGTGTTGGAGATTGCAAGCCGCGGCCGCAAGTTCGCATTTCGACAGGTAAGTACAAGCCATGAGTGTGGAACAAAGCCAACCAACGCGCTGAGCTCAATACGCTTACTTTTCTCACGGTAGGTGAACAAGATTGCCGAAAATGTTGATGGGTCAGGCGGCGTGGAGGGGTACTGTTGGATTACGTATACGTTTAGGGAAGCCGGGTGTGGATTGACGTTGTTCACGAGGAATCTGACCTGCGAGCTCGAGAAGGGCGTGGAGGTGCCAGAGGATCTTTGGGTGGCCATGTCGAGGCCAAGTGGAATCGACAAGTATCATGATGCTATTGCGAAGCTGCTTGACGAGGAGTCTGCGGAACACAAAGTCCTTAAATCATGAGTGTCAGAACAGACGGGCGCTTCAGATACCAATGTGCTGCTTTTGCGCGCCCGTTCGAAGCTCCGTGCGTTACGTAGCATGTATTGCAACTACAAGAAGCTTCCGCTTGAGAAGCGATCGCCAAAACCTTTCGATTTGCTGAGCATCTCCCTCTTCTGCTTATGATTCAGATTCCCGCTCACAGCCATGTCCTTCTCGTAATCAAACGCGCGCTTGCTTGGATCGTCTTCCTTCTCTTTACCCGTACCCTTGTCCTGATGCTGCTCAACTAGGCTCTTGCCTCGGGTCGCCTCAATCTTTTCGCGCATCTTGCGCGCCCCCCTCTCCTCTTCCTTGGTGCGCTTCGACTCGGATGTCGCAGGCGCAGCGTTTGTAGGTGCGGCGATGCCCAAGGCCTCGTCTTGCAGTCGTTTGAGCTTCTGCTCTGGTGTCTCGGTCCATGCGCTGCTCATGCCGCCTGTGTTGCCTGCGCCCTTTCCGGAGTTGAATTTGCGCGCGCGCATCTTGGTTGGGTCCATTCGCGCGGCGAGGTCGTCTTGTGTGGGCGGTAGTGTCATCCACTCGTCTCGTTGTGCCTTCTTCGGAGCGTCTGTGAATTGTGGCTCGCTATCGAATGCGGACGTCGCCATGTTGTTGTCAAAGCCTGAAGACATACTCCCAGCTGGAGGTGGGGCGGGACCAAAGTCGTCATCGCTGCTGTCCGAATCTGAGTCGCTGTCTGCAGGATTGGGTGGTAATTCGTCGAGAGGCGCTGGTGGTGGGGCGGGTCCTACCACGCGCTTTGGAGCTGGCGGAGGCGCGGGACCGACGTCGCTGTCTGCGCTGCTGGACCGTGATGGTGATGGCGATGGCGCACATGGTGGCAGCGAGGGCCCCGATGTACGCGGTGGTGAGGATGCGGAAGGCGGAGGTGCTGGGCCGATGACTCGTCTGCGCTTGTCTGTGGATTCTGGACTTGATGGTCGATGGTCGTCGTCGTCGCGACTGCGCTTGGACAGGTGCGGAGGCATTGCGGGTCCTATTGAAGGCATTGTGGGCTGTGGATTCGAGGTTGTTGGACTGTACGCGGCGCGTTTGGTTGTCGCGTGGAAGTGACGTTCGGCAGGAGCTTGGGCCTTCACCCAACGGTACGGCAGCTGCGGCGATCTGCGAACTGCGCCTCGAGCTCCACCGACGCGCCATCCTTGCCAACCCTCGTGGGCGACATTCACAACCTCGACTGACGTCTGTATCCGTGGCATACACGCTCGGCTGCCGCTCTAGCCGCTAGACTACTTTCTCATCCTCCTTCCCCGTAGGCCACATCACCCCCAGTGCCACGAACCACGACCGAGACCCCCGCGTCGCCCACGGTCAACACCTGCGAATCACGAAGCTATACCGCGGAAAGAGTTGATGTGCGCCTGAAGCAATGCTTTGCGCAGAACGAGGCAGATGAGCTCAGATTCGGGAGAGAGCCACTCCAGCGCTCACAACGACCATGGAGATGAGATAGACATGGGTGAAGGCGCCATGGGCGCTTCTGACATGGAGGACAACGACGACGCTCAGTCGCTAGACAACGGCCCCGAGAGCTTGACCTTTTTCCGGACACGGAGCAGGAATACACACGAAGAGGCGCAAGAGTCGGCTTCGGAGCTGTCTGTACGGCCCAGACTGACAGTCGAGGAAAGCCCTGCGTCGACGGATATACCAGACGATACGCCTTCGGTGCAAGTATGTTGTCTTTTGGAACGACATGGAAGTCCTCTGACCAAGACAGGGTTCCGGCATATCCTCACCAACCAGCAGCGTCCCGGTATCGCATAACTCGCTCCGCGCCCACCGTCCGACTTCATTACAGCCCTTTGAGCGCCGCTTCTCCTCGCGCCTGTCGCCCTCGCCATTGTCGTCCCCGGCCCGTGGCCAGTCACCCGCATTCCTTTCGCCGCATTCGCGACAGTCTTCCGTGTCGAGTAATGCCGCCTTCCACCAATTGTCAGATGATGGGTCCGAAACACCTCAGGCGCCATGGGAGGTCGTGCGATGGACCAAGCTGAAGAAGATAACTAGCCAGGTCTTCTCCGAGATCGGCAAGCGCAACTTCGGTCGGCCAACGTGTTTGAATGTCACGGTGTCGCTGGCAATAGGCACGTCGAAAGGTTTCATCCTCATCTTCGACTATCAGCAGGTCCTCAAATCCATCATTGGACCGGGCACCAAGGCCGTGGAATGCGGCTCTATCACATCGCTAGCCATCGCCGCTGATCATTCGACTATCGCTGGAGGGCATGCAACAGGTCACATCTTCACTTGGGAGTTGGCGAAACCAGCCAAGCCATTCCTTCACATTCCGCCCCTCGAAAGGGCCAACCTGGAGGATCACAAGTCGGATGGCCATGTGTCTGGTGTCGCCATCCTTCATTTGGGCTTCCTCGGCACCAGGCATACAGCGCTCGTCTCGGCCGATGATGCAGGCATGGCATTCTCCCATCTTGCAACGCGTGGCCTAGGAGCTATCGCACGCACAGTCAAGACTACGAGGATCCTGGGCAGATACCCAACTTCTGAAAAGTCATTAGAGAAGCCGCGGAAACCCAGTTCTGTGCTGGCTTTCGCTCCGCTCCCACTAGGAAATGTGGAACAACCCACCGATAGTATGGGTTTGACCGCGCTTCTGACGCCCTACTTGCTCGTGATAGTGTCGACTACCCCAGTTGCGCAGACGCAACACAAGGCACCTCGGCCAAAGGACGTGGAAGCACACAGCGCATTGAGTGGATGCCTAGCCTGGTTCCCTGCTGTCAAGCTGAAAACCGCCACCGGTCCTGGGAATGCAGTCTCCAAGACCAAGCTCGTATATTGCTGGTCGAATGTCCTTACCATACTAGAGGTCGATCACATTCTACCACCTCCATCGGAAAGAGAAAAGCCGACAGAGCTCCACTTTCGACCCCGAAGTCGTTGGAAGGCCGAAGAGGCTATTGTTGCAGTTCAGTGGCTTAGCAGATCAGTTCTCAGCGTACTGACCATCAGCCAGCGACTCATGATCTTGGAAGACAATACATTGCGCGTGACAGACTCTTTCGACTTGCTGCAGAAGCACATATACCACTCGGATCTATTTTCGCGACAACTCAAGCCCGCTATTGAACATCTTGACGAAGAAGACCCGTCACTGCATGGAGTCGTATCAGATGCCTTCTACATGAGCTTTCGAGCTTACAAGGGTCGGCTTTTCCTTCTTGGCTTCAACGACTGCTCGATCGGTACGCTTTCGAATTGGGCTGATCGTCTGCTGGCATTGATGGAAGATGGCGACTATATAGCTGCTATTGGCCTCGCGACTTCGTACTACGTTGGCGACGCGGATAAGCTTACAGTTGGGTTGCCTGAAGACGACAAAGCTCGACATGCTCTAGTTCGGCCGAAGCTGCTCGAAATGATAACAGCGTCGCTCAAGTACTCTTTTTCTCGCCAAGATGACGTTGACAGCGATACATATGAGCGACGATCGAAGGAACTTGCCGAAGTGGTCTTCACGGGCCTCATCTGTATGGAGGAGTATGACTTCCTATTTGAAGAAGTCTACGATGCGTATGAAGAAGCGTCAGCCGAGAAGGCCTTCTTCGAGACACTTGAGCCATATATTCAAGATGATGAGATCTCATCAGTACCACCAAACGTCCTGAAAGACCTCATAACCTTTTATGCATCGCACAACCGCTCTACGCAGCTTGAAGAGATGATTTGCCGGCTCGACACAGGTACTATGGATCTGAATCAAGTCACCACACTTTGTCAGCAATACGTGTTGTACGATGCGCTGATTTATGTGTGGACAAGAGCCATTGGAGACTACATTACGCCGCTCACAAACATTCTAGAGCTCATCAAATTGGTGGACTTTGATGTGGATGAGGATGAAAATATTTACCTTACTGCCGCGAAGAAGATCTTCCCATATCTCGCATATACTTTCACGGGTCGTGTGTATCCTGGAGGCACATTCATGGATGACGACCAAGCCTACAGTGCGAAGAAGGACATGTATCGATTCTTGTTCTCTGGCAAGAACCTGCAATGGCCACCAGGCTCGGACGAGATCATCCTCACACGGACCGATGGCAGTGCGGAGCCACCGTTCCCGTATCTGCAGCTCATACTAGACTTTGATGCTTCGAGTTTCATGAGTATGCTGAACGAGGCCTTCGAAGACAGCTTCTTGAATGGCGAACAAGATTCGCCCAACGGAGCCCAGCCAAACGGGACGCGGCGTGGTTCCGCTCTCACGCCAACGCGCCAGTCCATCATCAACTACCTCTTTGGCATCATGAACACGGACAACTTTGACCCGGAAGACATCATCTACTTCTACATGTTCGTCGCGCGAAACCTGCCCAAGTATCCGCAACACATTATGCTTCCAGGAACCTCGCTTCACCAAATCCTTGTCGGCCTCTGCAAATATCCTACTGACACCATCAAAGAGGACTGCCAGCTCTCAGTGGAGTATCTGCTTTCCATCTATCATCCGCCCAACACTCAAAGCCTTGTACCACTGTTTCAGAATGCAGGCTTCCATCGCGTACTGAAATCTGTCTATCGCGGTGCACATCAATACGCTAAACTGCTCGAAACATACCTTGTTGATGACGAGGACGAGGAAGCAGTCTTTGGATGTATCGCTGACATTTTGCGGCCTAGCAAAGGTCTCGTCAAGAAGCAAGTCAACGAGGTAAAGGCAGTCATCGTCGATCGGGCTACCGCTCTAGCCGCCGTGGACGCATCACAAACTGCGACTACACTGAAACAATATGCGCCAGACCTGCTGAAGCCGGTTCTGGACGCCATCGAGGCCGAACCTGATGCCCAATACCGCTATCTCGAGGCTCTGATTGAACCAGGTCAAGACGAGGTAAATACGAAAACCGTTATTGACGACAATCTTCCTTCCGGGTTCATCGAACGCTATGTCCAGCTCATGTGTACCTACAATAGTGCACACGTTGCAGACTTTG